GATTAACTCGGTAGCACTCGATGTATGCACAAGGCTTATTCCTCTAAGAAAAAGGAGGAGTAGATGTAAAACAGAAAGAGACAGGCGCTCCCTTTACAGGCGACGGAAAAGAATAACAGAGGCTAAAAGAGGTCAATATATCTGAAATGCGTAGGGAGACACTGGTCAGAGAAAGCAAGCATCGAACTTAAGCTAAAAGAATCCTTTAGGAGTCAGGAATCGCGGGAGAACTAAAAGCCATAAATGAAATCGAAAGAAACCCAAAGTATTTCTTCTCCTATGCCAAATCAAAATCGAGAAACAACGTCCAGTATTGGGCCCCTACTTAAACAAGATGGGCCCCTACACAGATGACAACAAGGAAATGAGTGAGCTACTCAAGTCCCAATATGACTCAGTTTTAGCAAGCCGCTAACCAGACTGAGAGTCGAAGATCAAAATGAATTTTTTATGAGAGAGCCACAAAATTTGTTTAAAACACAAGCCTATCCGTTGTTATCCTGACGCCAAAATGACTTCGAACAGGCGATAAATGACATGCCCATGCACTCTGCCCCAGGGCCCAGACTCGTGGAGCTCTGTGTTCATCAAGAACTGCAAGAAGCCCCTATAAACGAGCCTTTTCCATCCTATGGAGAGGGAGCATGGACACGGGGTCGTCCCACAGTTACTAAAAACAACAGACATAGCCCCACTCCACAAAGGGGGCAGTAAAGCAACAGCAAAGAACTACAGACCAATAGCACTAACATCCCATATCATAAAAATCTTTGAAAGGGTCCTAAGAAGCAAGATCACCACGCATCTAGAAACCCATCAGTTACACAACCCAGGGCAACATGGGTTTAGAACAGGTCGCTCCTCTCTGTCTCAACTATTGGACCACTACGACAAGGTCCTAAATGCACTAGAAAGACAAAAAGAATGCAGATGTAATATATACAGACTTTGCAAAGCCTTCGACAAGTGTGACCATGGCGTAATAGCGCACAAATGCGTGCTAAAGGAATAACAGGAAAAGTCGGTCGATGGATCTATAATTTCCTCACTAACAGAACACAGAGAGTAGTCGTCAACAGAGTAAAGTCCGAGGCAGCTACGGTGAAAAGCTCTGTTCCACAAGGCACAGTACTCGCTCCCATCTTGTTCCTCATCCTTATATCCGACATAGACAAGGATGTCAGCCACAGCACCGTGTCTTCCTTTGCAGATGACACCCGAATCTGCATGACAGTGTCTTCCATTGCAGACACTGCAAAGCTCCAGGCAGACATCAACCAAATCTTTCAGTGGGCTGCAGAAAACAATATGAAGTTCAACGATGAGAAATTTCAATTACTCAGATATGGTAAACATGAGGAAATTAAATCTTCATCAGAGTACAAAACAAATTCTGGCCACAAAATAGAGCGAAACACCAACGTCAAAGACCTGGAGTGATCATGTCGGAGGATCTCACCTTCAAGGACCATAACATTGTATCAATCGCATCTGCTAGAAAAATGACAGGATGGATAATGAGAACCTTCAAACTAGGGAGGCCAAGCCCATGATGACACTCTTCAGGTCACTTGTTCTATCTAGGCTGGAATATTGCTGCACACTAACAGCACCTTTCAAGGCAGGTGAAATTGCCGACCTAGAAAATGTACAGAGAACTTTCACGGCGCGCATAACGGAGATAAAACACCTCAATTTTTGGGGAGCGCTTGAGGTTCCTAAACCTGTATTCCCTGGAACGCAGGAGGGAGAGATACATGATTATATACACCTGGAAAATCCTAGAGGGACTAGTACCGAACTTGCACACGAAAATCACCCACTACGAAAGCAAAAGACTTGGCAGACGATGCACCATCCCCCCAATGAAAAGCAGGGGTGTCACTAGCACGTTAAGAGACCATACAATAAGTGTCAGGGGCCCGAGACTGTTCAACTGCCTCCCAGCACACATAAGGGGGATTACCAACAGACCCCTGGCAGTCTTCAAGCTGGCACTGGACAAGCACCTAAAGTCAGTTCCTGATCAGCCGGGCTGTGGCTCGTATGTTGGTTTGCGTGCAGCCAGCAGCAACAGCCTGGTTGATCAGGCTCTGATCCACCAGGAGGCCTGGTCTCAGACCGGGCCGCGGGGGCGTTGACCCCCGGAACTCTCTCCAGGTAAACTCCAGGTAAACTATATAAAAAGCCCCTGGTTATGCAGAATATTTTGGGCAACATAGGTTAATTTTCTTCCCAGGATGCTACCCACATCAGTTGGCTAACACCCAGGTACCTACCAACTGCTAGGTAAACGGGGACAGCAGTGTTTTAAGGAAACACCCCCATTTTTTTCGTTTAAGACCCCCATACGGGGGACGACCCCGGGACACTCAATGTGTGAAGGGAAATGTTTTTTCCCACCCGAGTTACAGAAACTTTGGTCTCCATTGTCCCTGCTAGAATACAGAAACGAATTGTAAAAAAACTGGAGGATTTCATTCAAATAGTTGGTTCTTTCTTGTCCAAGTCAATTAGAGCAATTTTAAAAGGAAAAATGGCCAAAATCTCATAACAGGCGGGCCTATTTATACAGCAAATTGGGTTTTTGGGCTGCTGCTGTAAAGGAAACGTGGAATTTTTTTTTTATTTTCAAATACATATAAAAGCCTGATAACATTTTTTACACTGTAAACATGCTTACATCCCAAATTCAAAAAAATTCCCACCTGAACCCATTACTTGTAATATAGATTTTTTGTGCAATTTCAAGTTTATTTTACAGACCCACTCCCCTTCTACCTCACATTTGTTTTAAAGGTTTTAAATAAGACTGAAAAATTTTTTAAACTACTACTACTTGCTATTTTAAGTATAGTTATTATTACTTTTTTTCTTGCCTATTTTTTAATTAGTTACTTGTATTGGTTTATTTTTTAATTTTTTTTTAAACATCCTAAGTGCACCGCTCACCCTTTTTTTCCCCCTATCAGTTCTAGATCACCTCATCTTTCATCCCCATCCACATAGACATTTTTTCCACCCCCCAAATATCGAAGCTTCACCTCCCCATACTCTCTCCCCCCTCTGATATCCCAAACTTTCATCCCTAACTTTTTTTATCCCATAACCTTACTCTTTCCTATATTCCCCTTTTAAATTTTTTTCTTTTACTACCCTACCAAATTCATCCCCAACTTCTGCAACTTCTCTTCAGAACTCCCATGGCACAGTTCTCAGCAAAAATCAACTGTGACAACTCCCCTTTGTGTTTGATTTTTTTTCTTTTTAAATCCACACCCTGCCAAGACCCCAGCATTCACTTCTCTTACAGCCCCATCTATAAATATATGAAGGCCACGGGGGACATCACACATACTTGTCTAAGGGCCACTTTTTACCGGGGAAAAAATCTCCCTCTTTCCGCTACTCTAACCTGAGCCTCCCTTTTACCAAAAAAAAACCCTTTATCTTTCAGTAACCACCTCCTATTCTTAAAATCTGCAACTTGCCAATTGTCCCTTTATCCCCCCTGTCATATGCCTTTTCCAAAGCCATAAAGCCACAAAACCTCTTTTATTATTTTATCAACTGGGCCCATTTTCCCCCAAAGGGAGGGGGCCTGAAAAAGAAAAAATTTCACCACATTCACTCCACCTGCTTGCCAGAGGGTGCTTTTTCCCTACAGTTTTTTTTAAAATGAACATTTTCACCCCCCTTTTGCCTTATCTAAATACTCTTACCTAATTTTCACTGATACACTTGACTACAATCCCTACCTCTCCTAATTTTGATTTTGCCCCCGAAAATGGGTAGTTTTTGTCACCCCTATCCATCCCGTGGACGGTAGTGCGAAGCAAGGAACACAAAAAGGGCCCAGGAACAGGCCCCAAAAGGGGTTAACAGGAATAAAATATGGATTTCCCAAAACCTCCTTGTTCATCTGCTATCCTACTCTCCATCTTACTCTTAATTCTTTCAATAATAACTCTACCATACACTTTACCAGGTATACTCAACAGACTTCTACTCCTATAATTTTTGCACTCTCTTTTGTCCCTTTGCCTTTATACAAAGGAAGCTATGAACTGTGCTCTCTAGGCTGGAATACTGCTGTACACTAATGGCCCCCTTCAAGGCTGGCAACATTGCAGTCCTGGAGAGTGTACAAAGAACTTTCACGGCACACATAAGTACGAATAGGAACTAACTACTGGGAAAGTTGAGGTCCTTGATCTGTATTCCCTCGAAACACAGGCAAGGAGAGATACATGATAATGTACACTTGGAAGGTCCTTCCTGGGGTATGGTACCAACCTGCACATGAAAATAACTCACTATGAAAGCAAAAGACTGGCCTGAGATGCAACATTCCCACGTGAAAAGCAGGGGCGCCACGAGTTACATTGAGAGACAACCACAGAAGTGTCCTGGGCCAAGACGTTCAATTTGCCTCCCAGCATACATAAGGGGGTGTTTACAATAGCCTTGGCTGTCTTCATGTAGGGCACTGGACAGGACCTAAAAGTCGTAACTCCGACCAAACAGGCTGTGGTTCATATGCCAGTTGTGTGCAGCCAGCAGTAAGGAGCTGGTTGTTCAGACCCTGATCCACCATGAGCCTGGTCTCAGGACCGGGCCACGGAGGGCATTGGACCCCGAAACCTTTTTACAGGTAAAGCTTCTGCCACCCTAGGTGCCTTACCTATCCATACAATTTATTATATATAGCCGACCAAACCACTCTAAAACTATATCCCACCTGCTTTTAACATTTATATCTTTATCCCATCAATCCCAGCTGCATACCACCTTTCTTTTACCCACTGCTCATGAACTTCCCCTACACTCACACTGGCTCTTACTCACTCCTACAAGATGTTATCCTCCTTGCCCTATACACGAAATCACAGCTTCCATATCTTCATCAGCATTTAAACAATTCCTCAAAAGATTCCCTCCATCTTCCCGAATACCTCTAACTCTCCATTATTAACTCTCCACTCTATTTTTAAACTGACAAATCCATTTGTTCCCTAGGTTTCCTCAGCTTGTTAATCTCACTCCAGAACTTTTTCTTATTTTCAACAAAATTGGTTGACAACATCTCGCCCACTCTCTCATTTGCTCTCGTTTTACATTGCTTCACCACTCTCTTAACCTCTCTTTTTTTTCTCCATATACTCTTCCCTCCTTGCATTATTTCTACTTTGTAAAAACCTCTCATATGCTAACTTTTTCTCCCTTACTACTCTCTTTACATCATCATTCCACCAATCGCTCTTTGAGATGCTAAGCAAATGTGTAGGAAACTTTGAACCAAGTGAGAGAGTAATTGTGGTAGGGGACCTAAATGCTAAAGTAGGAGAAACATTTCGAGAGGTTGTGGTAGGTAAGTTTGGGGTGCCAGGTGTAAATGATAATGGGAGCCCTTTGATTGAACTTTGTATAGAAAGAGGTTTAGTTATAGGTAATACATATTTTAAGAAAGAGGATAAATAAGTATACAAGATATGATGTAGGGCATAATGACAGTAGTTTGTTGGACTACATATTGGTAGATAAAAGACTGTTGAGTAAACTTCAGCATATACATGTTTATAGAGGAGCCACAAATATATCAGATCACTTCTTAGTTCTAGCCACAGTGAGAGTAAAAGGTAGATGGGATACAAGGAAAATAGAAGCATCAAGTAAGAGAGAGGTGAAGGTTTATAAACTAAAAGAGGAGGCAGTTAGGGTAAGATATAACAACTCTTGGAGGATAGATGGACTTATGAGAGTATAGGCAATGGGGTAAAAGATATATGGGGTAGGTTTAAGAATGTAGTGTTAGAGTGTTCAGTAGAAGTTTGTGGTTACAAGAAAGTGGGTGCGGGAGGGAAGAAGAGCGATTGGTGGTATTAGGATTAGTCTGCCCAAAATGCCCCGGCATGATAGTGGCTATCTTTGTACTTAGCAAATCAAAATTATAATTACACATTGTAACCTTTACAAAGAAATAAACTTTATCTTATCTTATCTAAGCAATAGAGCTAGGCTTAAAAACTGCATATATGTATAGTACATACATTAATTGACATTAATTGAATTTGAATTGCCTTAAAATATTTTCATCCTTAGCTCATAGTGAGTGGTGAATATATTTATTGTAGGAAGTCTGAATAGATAAACAATGGGTATAATTGAAAACTGCTGCATTAGCAAAATGTTGTAAAGTGAAGCACTGTAAAGCTGGGCCAGTCTATGCATAGTACCAGATGAGACCCAAACTTTTAAAAAATTGTGGTATATAAAAGGATCTGCTGTTTAAGAATGGTGTGTTTGAAAATTGGAAATGATATGCTCTTCTCATGTTTTGGAAATTGCTCATTATCATTGCAATATATGCACTTGAATAGCTAATCCTTAAACTATATAGTGTTATTCTGTAGTATTGGTGGGAACTGTTAAACTTATTTAGCTAACATTATGAGAGAGATAGTCCCAGGATCCATTATGTTCCTTCATATCTTTTGATTACCTTCCACAGAATGATACAAAGAAATGTCCAAAATTATTTTTTTTTACCATTGATGGAGTAGCAAAATTCCCAGAGGCAACAATTTAAAGATTAAGTTGATAGTACATTAAATCTACATAGAAAAAGATTTCTATGTAAATTTAACTGGGGCTCTTTTGCATGCATTGAAGTAGCACATGCATTCATATGTATAAATATTCACTTTTTTTTATATATTTTGGTGCCTCTGTATTGTAAATTGTTATTAACTGTCTGTATCTTTTAGGCACTTAACATTGGAGGAGTGAACTCCAGTGAACCGGAAGTTGTTTCCCTAACCACTCGTCTCACCAAGAAGAGAGAGATGAACGAGGTGGTTCGAGACATTGGCATATATTGTTTGTTCTTAGTGGTGCTCTATGTTCTTGTCAATGGATCTACTGACCCTAATGCTTTCCTCCAGCAAAATTCATTGGTGAATTCCTTCATCACTAGTGGGGATAACACACTTGACTACAGTCAAGAGGTACAGTGTCAGTTTGTAATAATCAATGGGGCACTTTTAAACTTTTATTTATAAAATTATTTTTTTGTTAATGGGGACAGTAAGGGGCATCATTAATCATTTAAAGAGAAACAATAAATCAAGTGATATGAATTTCATGCTGGTATCTCATGCTTGTGGGTTATATTGCACTTGGGATAGTGTGAAATTTCTGTTTAATTTATAATAACTCGGTGACAACTTTATAAAACAGATGCTCATCAAGTGGTTGAATGGTGGATGAAACATACAGGAGGGCCCCACATATACAGCACTTCTCTGTGTTCCATGTTTTCATTGGCTTTCAATCAAGCCGTTGTTCTACCTGCCGGCAATTTTCACCAGCGTGTGGAACATAATAAGCAATGGCATAGTTTGAAGCTAATGAAAAATGTGAAACACCAAAAAGAGGTGCAGTATATGCAAAGGCCAGCTAGTTTTTCTCTGGTAAGGAGCCCCAGGAGGCTCACCCAAAATGTGTGATACCTCTTTTATATTGATGCAAACGTCTCAGAAACTGAGTGATTGGATAACAAATGCTCACTATTTTTTCTGCATAGGAATTGTTGTATGCCTACCTGGGACATGTCATGTCTCATTCTCATCATTAATCATCTCTAAACACCTGTAAGGTCCATGGCACACTTTATGCTCAAGATAAAATATGGCTCTGCAACCTCCCCCAGATCTTGCAGCCAACTGAGTTTTGGAGTTTTATGGAATCCCAGCTAACTTGGGGCACAACTAGTGAATATTGACCTGAGTATGGTGGCAAAGGAGCTCTACTGAGCATAAAGTATGTGATGGAGCTTACTAGGGTTCAAAGAGGTGACTATTATTATTATTATTATTATATTATAATAAAAAAAGAAGCGCTAAGCCACAAGGACTATACAGCAACTATTATTATGAATTATATATTCATGCAGAATTTTTTTCTTTTTTTTCTTTTTAGGTTACAACAACTGACAAATATTGGTACTGGGTACAAAATGTGTTATTACAGAATCTTCGCGCCCAGCGATGGTATAATGATGATCCTCCATATGGTCTCAGAGGATTTCTAGATGACCGAGTTAATAGGATTATTGGTTATGCAATAATTCGCCAAATAAGAAGTGACCCACGAACATGTCGAGTTGCCTATAGCATGAGAAACTTTGTGAGAAATTGCTCAGGAAGTCGAGCATATGGCACTGAGGACACTAGAAATTTCTGTAATGGGTGGTCAGTAGAGGAAAAGGTCCCGGGTACATGCACATACGATCAGTTCCGTTATAAGACAGAAACAGAGCTGCAGACGTATTCCACAAGGGGCTTGCTGGGTACCTATGGTGGTGGTGGCTATGTAATACAGTTGGACAATCTTGAAACAGAAGACATAGCACAACTACAGACTATGCAAAGTTTGGGGTGGATTGATAAGTACACTCGTGCAGTGATGCTGGAATTTTCAACCTATAATGTAAATGTAAACCTCTTTACTATATGCAGAATTGTTGCAGAGTTTAATGAAGGTGGAGGTGTATACACTTCATGGAGATTTGACCCTATTCAGCTCCTGTCAACTGGGGGAAGTTTTGGATTTATCTTGTCTGTCTGTCAAATAATTTTTGTTGCTACTACAGTCATGTCTACTTTATGGCAGGTCTGGAAGATAAAAAAAATGAAATGTGAATATTTTGCATCATATTGGCATATTGCTGAGATTTGCATTATTTTAACATCCTATGCTACAATTGCTATTTATATTTACCAATATTTTTTGATCAGAGATGCATTGGCAATATTTAATAGCACATTTGGCAATGGCTATGTCAGGATGGATGCAGCAGCACTCTACAGTCAGGTATATCTCTACTCATTGGCCATCATAGTATTTTTCTCTACTCTGAAGCTTATCAAGCTACTGCAGTTTAATAAGAGGATAGACCAACTGGCCCTTGCCATTGAGAACTGTTGGAATGAGCTTGCCACTTTCTTTATAGCATTTGGTATTGTTTTCTTTGCTTTCTGCTGCTTGTTCCACTTCATATTCATGGGATGTCTAGAAGATTACTCCAGGTTGGTCACTGCAGTTGAATCCACTTTCGCAATGCTGTTAGGAAAGTTAGATCTTTCAGAGATGGTTCAAGTCAATCCCATTGCTCCAATATTGTACTTTGCTTTTTCTGTTATGAACACAATAGTGCTGGTCAACATCATGCTCACCATCATTATGGTGACTTTCACCCTAACTAAATCGGACTTTGAATCCCGGGAAAATAAGTATGATATTATTAACTTCATATGGTCAAGAGTACGTCAGAATCTGAGGCTAGAAAGAGAACCAGATGCCAGTGTGATCCCTAATGTACAGGATGAGTCGCAGAACAGCGCCACCTCAGATGATTCTATTGCGGATGAACTCCCAGATAAGGTATGCATTATTGCCTCAGTTACACTATTATTACAGGATTAACCCATCTTATGGCACTTCACTTTACAGCGATTCAGTAATACAGACATTTCAGATTACTATAACTAAAACTTGTTCATACAGTTATCTGATTTGATATTATGGCATCTCTGTGTCACTGTTTGTCTACAGTCTCCATAACTTCCATGTCTCTCTATTATCTCTGGAAGCTTTCCAAACATTAAAATCCTTTAAAGTTATTGCATATTTTATATATACCTACTCTGATCATTATACAGTGGACCCCCGGTTAACGATATTTTTTTATTCCAGAAGTATGTTCAGGTGCCAGTACTGACCGAATTTGTTCCCATAAGGAATATTGAGAAGTAGATTAGTCCAGTTTGGAGGGATATGTTGTGTATCTTTATACGTATATGCTTCTAAACTGTTGTATTCTGAGCACCTCTGCAAAAGCAGTGATAATGTGTGAGTGTGGTGAAAGTGTTGAATGATGATGAAAGTATTTTCTTTTTGGGATTTTCTTTCTTTTTTCTGGGTCACCCTGCCTCGGTGGGAGACGACCGACTTGTTGAAAAAAAAAAAAAAAAAAAAAAGTTAGTCCATTTCAGACCCCCAAACATACACGTACAAATGCACTTACATAAATACACTTACATAATTGGTTGCATTGGGAGGTGATCGTTATGCAGGGGTCCACTGTACTTATGTGTGCCTGTACCTAAATAAACTTACACACTGTGCCGGCATACAGGTACACATTAATATCACTAAGAGTGTTTCACCAGTCTTGAAGATGCCATAATAAAAATAATCGCTCTAGGATGCATTAAATGTCATATATTATGTTAATATAAACATTTTTATTAATCCATCTATGATTTTTTTTCAAAATTATATTAGAAACACGTTACATAACATACAGTATGAACATAATTCATACACAGACAGTAAAACAGATCAACATATCATGTATGACAGTCATGTATAAAAAAGCAACTCATGTGCTCTCCCCCATTATTGCAACACTATTTAACAAATCTGTTGAATCTTCAACATTCCCATCCATACTCAAAACAGCAAGGGTCACCCCGATCCTCAAAGGAGGCGATCTGACAGAACTGAATAATTACAGACCAATATCTAACTTGCCTTTACTCTCTAAAATCTTCGAAAAAATAATACATAAACAAATCTACTCCTACCTCCTATCCCATAACATAGTGAACCCCTGCCAGTTTGGGTTTAGGCTGAAAAAAAGCATGAATGATGCAGTTATTCAGATGCTCAAATTTCTATATACAACAATTGAAAAAAATGAATATCCTTTGTGGCTCTTCCTAGACCTACGGAAAGCATTTGATACAGTCAACCACATTAGGTAATTGAGAGGACATGCTCTCAATTACCTAAAATCTTATCTTGGTGATAGATACCAGTAGGTATACACAAATGGCATAACCTCCAATACTCAACCTGTAGTCGTTAGAGTGCTACATGGAAGTGTCCTAGGTCCTCTACTGTTTCTTATTTACATCTATGACCTCCCAAATGCATCGCAACTCCTTAAACCAGTTCTATTTGCAGATGACACCACTTACGTCTTCTCCCACCAAACCCGGCTGTACTTAGTAACACTGTAAATGACAAATTACATAAAATATCAAACTGGATGATGACCAACAAACTTACTCTCATTATAGACAAAACCTACTTCATGCTTTTTGGAAACAGAGCATTAAATATCCAGCTAAACATATCGATAAATAGTTCACCTATTACAAGACACAATGAGGGCAAATTTCTAGGTCTCCACCTTGACTATAATCTTAAATTTCAGACCCACATCCAGCATACAACTAAGAAAGTTTCAAAAACAGTAGGCATCCTTCCCAAGATACGGTACTGTGTATCCCAAAAGGCACTCCTTACTTTATATCACTCTCTCATATACCCTTACCTCACCTATGGTATTTGTGCGTGGGGATATACCATGGCCAATCACCTTAAACCTTTAATAGCCCAACAAAAAGCAGCAGTGCGGATGATCACAAACTCCAGCGCCAGACAACACACCCCACCACTTTGTGTGAATTTTTTTGGGTTATCCTAGGTTCTCTACACATAAGCTGCTATGTATGATAATCTATGTAGTAACTGTATTTGTGTATACCTAAATAAACTTACTTATTCAAAAACTTGAACTTAATTAATATACAAATTATACACACTCAGCTCACACACTGAGGTTCAGAGATCAAATTCCCAATATGGCTGGAAAACATTAGGATGCGTTTCCTTAACACACCTGCTGTCCCTGTTCACTGGTGTGGGTTGCATCCTGGGACAAAACTGACCTAAGTTGTCCGAAATGCTCTGCATAACAAGTGGCTTTCTGTATAGTACTATATCACTGATGCCACCTAGGCCTGTATACCTTGTATATGTACTTGTAGAAATAAAGATATAATATTATTATACTTTTATTATTATTGTGTCTACTATATATACAGAACATTAAACTCCAATATCAACCCTCCACTCAGACTTCTCCTAGACAGCTTCAACAGAACACACAGGCATAACACGAGGCAAAAAACACTTTTTGACATCCCTCATGTCCGTCTCACACTCTGCTAAAATGCAATTCACATAAAGGGCCCAAAGATCTGGAACTCTTTTCCTGAAACAGCAAGAGGTTCCCTGCACACAAATCAATTTAGGACTATCCTCAAGAATTGTCTCATCTCTCATTAACAACCGTACCCAGACTATGCTAAACTCTGACCAAATTTAAAGCAACTCTCCCAAATATTTTATTATCCCTTAACTATTAAGCCTTTATTACACACTTAAAAATATATGTTTGTATCATAAATTGTACTACCTCATATTAATAATAGAATAAAATAATGAATATTTGTATTCTACCACTCTTCACCTGTCTAGACTTAAGTAGTCTTTAAGTATTAGGTAAGTCTGCCCTAAATGCCTCAGCATGATAGTGGCTTTCTTTGTACCAATCACATTATGAAATGTAAACACACATTGTAACCTTAGCCAAGAAATGAAATTTTGATTTTGATTTTGATTTGATTTTGATAAATATGAAATGTGGTTGTAGGTAGTAGGTTGGTAGACAGCAACCGCCCAGGGAGGTACTACCGTCCTACCAAGTGAGTGTAAAACGGAAACCTGTAATTGTTTTACACGATGGTAGGATTGCTGGTGTCTTTTTTTTCTGTCTCTTAAACATGCGAGATTTCAGGTACGTCTTGCTACTTCTACTTACACTTAGGTCACACTACACATACATACATGTACAAGCATATATATCCACACCCCTCTGGGTTTTCTTCTACGTATTTTCTTTCTAGTTCTTGTTCTTGTTTATTTCCTCTTATCTCCATGGGGAAGTGGAACAGAATTCTTCCTCTGTAAGACATGCGTGTTGTAAGAGGCGACTAAAATGCCAGGAGCAAGGGCCTAGTAACCCCTTCTGTATAAATTACTAAATTTGAAAAGAGAAACTTTCATTTTTCTTTTTGGGCCACCCTGCCTTGGTGGGATACAGCCGGTTTGTTGAAAAAAAAAAATGAAATGAGCTACGTATTTACTGGACAATGACGCTAGGAGTCAGCAATCATCTATGCATAAGAAACTAATGAACAGCATCAATGTGCTTTCAGCCTAGCAAAACCTTTTGCACAAATTATCATGGGAAAACCCGGCCCTCAGTCAAAGAACAGTTCAGACCTAAATAATGAACTGCTATTACCTGGAGTTTACCTGGAGAGAGTTCCAGGGGGTCAACACCTCAGCGGCCCAGTGTGTGACCAGGCCTCATGGTGGATCAGGGCCTAATCAACCAGGCTGTTACTGCTGGCTGCACGCAATCCAACATACGAACCACAGCCCTGCTGGTCAGGTACCAACTTTAGGTGCCTTGTCCAGTGCCTGCTTGAAGACAGCCTGGGGTCTATTGGTAATCCCCCTTATGTATGCTGGGAGGCAGCTGTGCTGTTACCCACAGCATGAAAATCTGTCATTCTTACCTCACTTTCCATTTCACACTGAGGGAAGGTATGAATTATTATTATTATTATTATCATCATCATCAAAACCAATTCAAAACCAAGATCCATACGTGTATGACATGAAGCTTGTCTTCCTGAGTGAAATGTTGTCCTATCAAAGCTTTTCCTGTCAGCATCATGAATGTACACCTCATGATAGCCAAACCACTATGTAAGAGTTCTCTTGACACTTATGCAGCATATGGAAATCTTTATTCAGGAAACGTTTCAGTAATCAGTCCCTCAACTCCAGGTTGAGGGACTGATTACCTCATTCTCCTCCTCTCCTTATGCCTTCCTCTTTGTATTGGACTGATGAAGCCACTGTGTGGCGAAACGTTTTCCTGAATAAAGATTTCCATATGCTGCATAAGTGTCTCAATCTTCAACTTGTCGGTTTTTCAAACCATTCATCAAAAGAGTTCTCTTGCAATTTTTTGAGTGCTCCTTCGTATGTGTTATTATGCATCGAAGATTCAGTATTTTCATTAAAATAAAAATATGAACATATTCTTGATAAACTATTATATTTGATAGATCTATTAATTTTTTCAGGTGAGTCAGTTGATGAAATACATCAGTGATGTATATTTTGATGGGCAACTTAACCTCAATGACCCAGAAGCTGTGAAGCAGATTGTTCAAGGCAGATTACCTTCAAACTCCTTGCAGTCATACACAAGGAAGTTCCAAAATGCAGGACAAAAATCTGTTCCCTCTAGTGACTAATGGTTATATTTTACAAAAGGTTGTGACATGAACTATATTTTCAGTTGACTGACATTAATATATCACAATACTACAGCTGGAACCAATTAGAAATTAAAATTGGACATTTTGGTATATCTGAACCATAATGAAATTACTTAGAGATATGAATAATTAGTATACATATGTTCATGAGTCATATAATGTTAAGGGAATGAATAGCTTTGATCTGAAGGGGACGGTAGCTCTAATTCTTTGGATCAAGAGCCTTTCATACATTTCAAAGCACCCTCCTCATTATTATTATTGTTATTGAACTAACTTCACAAAAAACACTAAATTCTTGTGTACTGAAGGTTAGAGCCTTTAACGATGCTTGTTTGTGTGTTTATCTCATAATACATCGGCAAAATGCTTTAATCTTCAGAATACAAGACTTAACCAAAATATATACATCAAGAAATGTATTTCTCTTAGCCTATATATGCAGAGATTACTTGATTTTTATTTTAGGGATTAAAGTATTCTTACCTAGTAGTGAAACAGTTATGCGTGTGTAGTAGAAGATAGTCTTTAAACCCCCATTAACCAACCTTACTTAACTTGACCATGACCTTTACTGTCTTAATGTCATGGTCCCTTGACCTTTCTCTTAAATTCCTTCTTAATTGTTTATTATTATTACTAAGCTGTGAACCAACAAGGATCATACAAATCCTCACTATTATTATAATCACAACAAAGTGCTAAACCCTTAAGGGTTATGCAGCTTTGCTACAGCTGCTCAGTTGTGGCTTGATAAGTTCATATTGATGCAAAACTAGTTCTTGTTTTTGCCTAACGTGTTTGAAAAGTATCAGAGTATAGTGTTATAGTTATGGGGAAGCACTAAACCCATAAGGGTCATGTAGTGACTGGAGAACAAGAGGTAATCAGGACTTATCTTCAAGGTCAGCTCTGTCACCATCAAGGTGCCGCTAATGTATAATCATGGCATCAATGTAGCTTCTAATTATCATCAAGGACCCCAAATTAAATAAATCACTGACTTTTTTTGGTTATGCTAGGTAATCTGCATGTGTGCTGCTATTTTTTTTTTCTTTAACATGTCGGCTGTCTCCCACCAAGGCAGGGTGACCCAAAAAGAAAGAAAACACTTTCACCATCATTCACACATAATCACTGTCTTTGCAGAGGCACTCAGATACGACAATTTAGATGTCACTCCAAACAGTCAGTATCCCAAACCCCTCCTTTAAATTTAAGTGCAGGCATTGTACTTCCCACTTCTAGGACTCAAGTCCAGCTCACCAGTTTCCCTGAACCCTTTCACAAAATATTACCCTGCTCACACTCCAACAGCTTGGCAGGTCCCAGAAACCATTTGTTTCCATTCACTCCTGTCTAACACACCTAATTTGCACACTATGAATTCTCTGTATAATATTTACACCACACATTGCCCTTAGACACGACATCTCCATACCCTCCAGCCACCTCCTTGCTGCAGCATTATAACCCGTACTGCTATGTATGATAATTTATGTAACTGTACTTACGTATGCCTATACCTGAATAAACTTACTAATCCCTTCACTAGAAGTACCTTGATGCCAGCAAAGGGTTCTTGAACCGAGGGATTTCATTTATTCTCTTTGTCCCTGAACTGACCCTAGGTGCTCTATGACCCATATGGATGTACTGCTTCACATGAATTTAATAATAATGCTTATCATTAATATATACATATACTTGTGTGTTTTGGATTTGAATATGTAAAAGTATGCATGCATACATATATGCAAACATGCATACATAATTGCACATACACATATGTGCACACTTGTTTATTTTGGGTTTCTTAGTAGCAGTGCAAGTGATTGTTATTAAGAGCATGGGCTTAAGAGTGAAGGGCCCTTGTAGGTTTAGTACTTCTTTTTTATATTATAATTAAGAGTGAGTAGTATAGTAGTAGGTTGGTAGACAGCAACCACCCAGGGAAGTACTACCGTCCTGCCAGATGACTGTGAAACAAAAACCTGTAACTGTTTTGCATGATGGTAGGATTGCTGGTTTCTTTTTCTGTCTCATAAACACGCTAAGATAACAGGGATATCTTGCTACTCCTACTTACACTTTGGTCACACTTCACAGACACGCACATGCATATATATATATACATACATCTAGGTTTTTCTCCTTTTTCTAAATAGCTCTTGTTCTTTTTTATTTCTTCTATTGTCCATGGGGAAGTGGAAAAGAATCTTTCCTCCGATAAGCCATGCGTGTCGTATGAGGCGACTAAAATGCCGGGAGCAATGGGCTAGTAACCCCCTTCTCCTGTATACAATTACTAAAAAAGAGAAGAAGAAAAACTTTATAAAACTGGGTTGCTTAAATGTGCGTGGATGTAGTGCGGATGACAAGAAACAGATGATTGCTGATGTTATGAATGAAAAGAAGTTGGATGTCCTGGCCCTAAGCGAAACAAAGCTGAAGGGGGTAGGAGAGTTTCAGTGGGGGGAAATAAATGGGATTAAATCTGGAGTATCTGAGAGAGTTAGAGCAAAGGAAGGGGTAGCAGTAATGTTAAATGATCAGTTATGGAAGGAGAAAAGAGAATATGAATGTGTAAATTCAAGAATTATGTGGATTAAAGTAAAGGTTGGATGCGAGAAGTGGGTCATAATAAGCGTGTATGCACCTGGAGAAGAGAGGAATGCAGAGGAGAGAGAGAGATTTTGGGAGATGTTAAGTGAATGTATAGGAGCCTTTTGAACCAAGTGAGAGAGTAATTGTGGTAGGGGACTTGAATGCTAAAGTAGGAGAAACTTTTAGAGAGGGTGTGGTAGGTAAGTTTGGGGTGCCAGGTGTAAATGATAATGGGAGCCCTTTGATTGAACTTTGTATAGAAAGGGGTTTAGTTATAGGTAATACATATTTTAAGAAAAAGAGGATAAATAAGTATACACGATATGATGTAGGGCGAAATGACAGTAGTTTGTTGGATTATGTATTGGTAGATAAAAGACTGTTGAGTAGACTTCAGGATGTACATGTTTATAGAGGGGCCACAGATATATCAGATCACTTTCTAGTTGTAGCTACACTGAGAGTAAAAGGTAGATGGGATACAAGGAGAATAGAAGCATCAGGGAAGAGAGAGGTGAAGGTTTATAAACTAAAAGAGGAGGCAGTTAGGGTAAGATATAAACAGCTATTGGAGGATAGATGGGCTAATGAGAGCATAGGCAATGGGGTCGAAGAGGTATGGGTAGGTTTAAAAATGTAGTGTTAGAGTGTTCAGCAGAAGTTTGTGGTTACAGGAAAGTGGGTGCAGGAGGGAAGAGGAGCGATTGGTGGAATGATGATGTAAAGAGAGTAGTAAGGGAGAAAAAGTTAGCATATGAGAAGTTTTTACAAAGTAGAAGTGATGCAAGGAGGGAAGAGTATATGGAGAAAAAGAGAGAAGTTAAGAGAGTGGTGAAGCAATGTAAAAAGAGAGCAAATGAGAGAGTGGGTGAGATGTTATCAACAAATTTTGTTGAAAATAAGAAAAAGTTTTGGAGTGAGATTAACAAGTTAAGAAAGCCTAGAGAACAAATGGATGTCAGTTAAAAATAGGAGAGGAGAGTTATTAAATGGAGAGTTAGAGGTATTGGGAAGATGGAAGGAATATTTTGAGGAATTGTTAAATGTTGATGAAGATAGGGAAGCTGTGATTTCGTGTATAGGGCAAGGAGGAATAACATCTTGTAGGAGTGAGGAAGAGCCAGTTGTGAGTGTGGGGGAAGTTCGTGAGGCAGTAGGTAAAATGAAAGGGGGTAAGGCAGCCGGGATTGATGGGATAAAGATAGAAATGTTAAAAGCAGGTGGGGATATAGTTTTGGAGTGGTTGGTGCAATTATTTAATAAATGTATGGAAGAGGGTAAGGTACCTAGGGATTGGCAGAGAGCATGCATAGTTCCTTTGTATAAAGGCAAAGGGGATAAAAGAGAGTGCAAAAATTATAGGGGGATAAGTCTGTTGAGTGTACCTGGTAAAGTGTATGGTAGAGTTATAATTGAAAGAATTAAGAGTAAGACGGAGAATAGGATAGCAGATGAACAAGGAGGCTTTAGGAAAGGTAGGGGTGTGTGGACCAGGTGTTTACAGTGAAACATATAAGTGAACAGTATTTAGATAAGGCTAAAGAGGTCTTTGTGGCATTTATGGATTTGGAAAAGGCGTATGACAGGGTGGATAGGGGGCAATGTGGCAGATGTTGCAAGTGTATGGTGTAGGAGGTAGGTTACTGAAAGCAGTGAAGAGTTTTTACGAGGATAGTGAGGCTCAAGTTAGAGTATGTAGGAAAGAGGGAAATTTTTTCCCAGTAAAAGTAGGCCTTAGACAAGGATGTGTGATGTCACCGTGGTTGTTTAATATATTTATAGATGGGGTTGTAAGAGAAGTAAATGCGAGGGTCTTGGCAAGAGGCGTGAGTTAAAAGATAAAGAATCACACACAAAGTGGGAGTTGTCACAGCTGCTCTTTGCTGATGACACTGTGCTCTTGGGAGATTCTGAAGAGAAGTTGCAGAGATTGGTTGATGAATTTGGTAGGGTGTGCAAAAGAAGAAAATTAAAGGTGAATACAGGAAAGAGTAAGGTTATGAGGATAACAAAAAGATTAGGTGATGAAAGATTGAATATCAGATTGGAGGGAGAGAGTATGGAGGAGGTGAACGTATTCAGATATTTGGGAGTGGACGTGTCAGCGGATGGGTCTATGAAAGATGAGGTGAATCATAGAATTGATGAGGGAAAAAGAGTGAGTGGTGCACTTAGGAGTCTGTGGAGACAAAGAACTTTGTCCTTGGAGGCAAAGAGGGGAATGTATGAGAGTATAGTTTTACCAACGCTCTTATATGGGTGTGAAGCGTGGGTGATGAATGTTGCAGCGAGGAGAAGGCTGGAGGCATTTGGAGACGTCATGTCTGAGGGCAATGTGTGGTGTGAATATAATGCAGAGAATTCGTAGTTTGGAAGTTAGGAGGAGGTGCGGGATTACCAAAACTGTTGTCCAGAGGGCTGAGGAAGGGTTGTTGAGGTGGTTCGGACATGTAGAGAGAATGGAGCGAAACAGAATGACTTCAAGAGTGTATCAGTCTGTAGTGGAAGGAAGGCGGGGTAGGGTCGGCCTAGGAAGGGTTGGAGGGACGGGGTAAAGGAGGTTTTGTGTGCGAGGGGCTTGGACTTCCAGCAGGCATGCGTGAGCGTGTTTGATAGGAGTGAATGGAGACAAATGGTTTTTAATACTTGACGTGCTGTTGGAGTGTGAGCAAAGTAACATTTATGAAGGGATTCAGGAAACCGGCAGGCCGGACTTGAGTCCTGGAGATGGGAAGTACAGTGCCTGCACTCTGAAGGAGGGGTGTTAATGTTGCAGTTTAAAAACTGTAGTGTAAAGCACCCTTCTGGCAAGACAGTGATGGAGTGAATGATGGTGAAAGTTTTTCTTTTTCGGGCCACCCTGCCTTGGTGGGAATCGGCCGGTGTGATAATAAAAAAATAATAAAAAATAATAATTAAGAGTGAAGTACCAACATTATTATTATAATCAAAATTAAGTGCTAAACCCACCAGGGTTATTCAGTGCTGAATAGAAGTATAGTTTTTATTCTATTCCCTGTTTATAGTTTTTCTCTCAAAATGATTTTGATGATTGTCATATTTGGAATTGTACATTAATGATTAGTATATATTTTAGGTATTATATGGCAGGTAATCAGGTTGAATCCAAGGAAAGAGAGTATCTCCAATTCTTTAGATACAGGCACCTCCCATGAAGTATTTTTCATTATTCACAGTGATTAATAGGACTTAGTAGAAGTATTCAGTTAATGCTTTTTATAAATATCTTAAGTATAAATAACTGATAGTTCTGAAAATCTGTGCAGAATGCAGGAAATGCAATAAATTGTAACACAAGTAAAAATCATGTACACTAAAAAAAAAATGAATAAAATTCTTTTGCATAATTTTATTTTTTTATTGATCAGGCATGCCAAATGGTAGCTCCGAATTCTGTTATTATATTTGTAGAAAGTGCTAAACCCATATGGGTCAAAGAGTGGAGGAAATCATACCGGAAGCAGTCAATTAGTTTCTGTTAAGAATTTTTCAGATCAAATTAAGAAGTACATATTACTGTAGTTTGTTAATTCGTGAAAAGTTGATCTCATAATGTCTGCTGCCTCAGAGTTTTATTTATTTATTTATTTATGTCTTTGCAAATAGTACATTGAGATTATGTATTTACAATAATGGGTTGCAATGCAAAGAGAGCCTCTATTATGCCTAGGCATTATGGGCCAACTTAACATTATTGAAACATTTGCAACTTTGTTTCCAAACTGAATGAAATAGGTTTTATCAGTATTCAGGGTAAGTTTATTAGTCATCATCCAGGCAGATATTTTCTGCAATTCAACATTGACAGTATTGGCGAGTATGCCTGGGTTTGGGTGGGAGAAGACGTATGTAGTGTCATCTGCAAATAATATGGGTTTGAATAGTTGTGATGCATTCGGTAGATCATTGATGTAGATGAGAAAGGGGAGTGGTCCAAGGACACTTCCCTGTGGGACTCCTACTGTGATTGGTTGGGTGGAAGAGTTTGCACCATTTGTGTACACATATTGACTTCTGCTACTAAGGTATAACTTTAGGTAGTTGAGGGAGTGGCCTCTGATACCATAGTATGTTAATTTAGTTGAAGTCATTAACATCATCTCCATGCATAACTTAGGCAAAACAAGATGACAATATATCAGTAATATCCGAGTTTATATGTTGGCTTATCTAAATAAACACTCGGTTGTTCATGATATCTGTTTATATATTATGCAAAAATCGTGAACGGACAAAAGATGCAAAATAACAACAGGGGGAGTTGAATGATAGCTCTAGATCTTTCGTATTGTAATCAACACATCAGGAGCTTGCAATGTTGCAGAAATAGAGTAAAAAACCCAGGAAGATCTGTTCATGAGAATGGCTGCTTTACTTCACCGCTGATGCAAAAAAGAAACAAGCAATACAAAGAGACTATCAGTTTATTATATTAATAGAAATCTGAGAAATCATTGACGGTGCAGTGGGAGTCTCCGAAGCTGAAGACATTAATATAACCACAACGACCCAGGTGGTTGTTAGTAGTGTAGGGTGACCTGCCACCTGCTGACCCTGAACAACCTCCACTCTGTCAAGTAAACCTTAATTAATATTCAATCTTCCTTATATAATGTATATATATACAGTGGACCCCCGCATAACGATCACCTCCAAATGCGACCAATTATGTAAGTGTATTTATGTAAGTGCGTTTGTACGTGTATGTTTGGGGGTCTGAAATGGACTAATCTACTTCACAATATTCCTTATGGGAAAAAATTCGGTCAGTACTGGCACCTGAACATACTACTGGAATGAAAAAAGTTCGTTAACCGGGGGTCCACTGTATATGTGTGTGTGTATGTGTTTGAGGGGGGGGGCAAAATTTATTCCATTAGTGGTTTTGTGAAATAAAAATAAATCTATATACTGTACCTGGTTGATGTCAGCCTCCCAGCCTTGACTGTCATTGCTGAGGTAGGCTTTCACCTCAAACCATCCATCCTCTGTCTGAGAGCAGTCCATGTCCATATCAACCATCCAGTAGTGATCTCCATACCTGCCACCCAAGACAAGGTTCATTATTATTATTATGGTCATGAAAAAGCATTAAATCCATGGGGGTCATCTACAGCACCTATGGAATGTGAAGTAATCAAGTTTGATCCTAGGGGGAAAACATTTCATATTCAGATTAAGAACCCTTCACCAGTATCAAGTTTTTTCTATAATTGAACTTTTGCAATCCTTGCTACCCCACTAGTCAAATCAGATCAGATATTTATACTCCAAAAATGCTCTGCATAACAAGTGGCTTTCTATATAGTAGTATGTCATTGATATCAGTTAGACCTGTATACTGCATACATGTACTTGTAGAAATAAAGATATTATATTATTATAACAAAATACAGTAGGTAGTAGGTTGGTAGACAGCAACCGCCCAGGGAGGTACAGTACAGTCCTGCCAAGTGAGTGTAAAACAAAAGCCTGTAATTGTTTTACATGATGGTAGGATTGCTGGTGTCTTTTTTCTGTCTCATAAACATGCAAGATTTCAAGTACATCCTGCTACTTCTGCTTACACTTAGGTCACACCACACATGCATGTACAAGAATATATACACACAACAGACAACCCCACTCCACAAAGGGGGCAGTAAAGCAATAGCAAAGAACTACAGACTGATAGTGCTAATATCCCATATCTTAAAACTCTTTGAAAGGGTTCTAAGAAGAAAGACCGCCACCCATCTAGATACCCATCAGTTACACAACCCAGGGCAACATGGGTTTAGAGCAGGCCGCTCCTGCCTGTCAAAACTACTGGACCACTATGGCAAGGTCGTGGATGCTCTAGAAGACAAACAAAATGCAGATGTAGTATACACAGACTTTGCAAAAGTCTTTGACAAATATGACCATGGTGTAATAGTGCACAAAATGTGTGACTAAGGAATTACAGGAAAAGTTGGTAGATGGATCTATAATTTCCTAACAAATAGAAAACAAAGAGTAGTAGTAAACAGAGTAAAGTCTGAGGTGGCTACGGTAAAAAGCTCTGTTCTCATCCCATCTTGCTCCCATCTTATTCCTCATCCTCATATCTGACATAGACAGGGATGTAAGCCACAGTACTGTGTCTTCCTTTGCAGATGATGCCCAAATTTGCAAGTGTCCTCTATTGAAGACACTGCAAGATTCCAGGTGGACATCAACCAAATCTTCAAATGGGCCACAGAAAACAATATGAAGTTCAATGATGAGAAATTTCAATTACTCCGATATGGAAAAAGTGTGGAAATTAAAACTATATCAGAGTATAAAACAAATTCCAACCACACAGTAGAACAAAAAACTAATGTAAAAGACCTGGGAGTGATATTGTCAGAGGATCTCACCTTCGAAGACCACAACATTGTATCAATTGCATCTACTAGAAAAATGACAGGATGGATAATGAGAACCTTCAGAACTAGGGAGGCCAAGCCCATGATGACACTCTTAAGGTCGCTTGTTCTATCTAGGCTGGAATATTGCTGCAAACTAACAGCACCTTTCATGTCAGGTAAAACTGCTGACCTAGAAAATGTACAGAGAACCTTCTTTGGAGTCCAGTCCCTGGACCAATTATGTACCTTTGTAATCTTTTGACTATTGGCACGCATAACTGTGATAAAACACCTCGGTTACTGGGAACGCTTGAAGTTTCTCAACCTGTACTCCCTAGAACACAGGCGGGAGAGATACATGATTGTATTTACTTGGAAAATCCTAGAGGGATTAGTACCAAACTTGCACACAAAAATCACTCCCTATGAAAGTAAAGACTCGGCAGACGATGCAACATCCCCTCAATGAAAAGCAGGGGTGTCATTAGCACGTTAAGAGACAACACAATAAGTGTCAGAGGCACAAGACTGTTTAACTGCCTCCCAGCATACATAAGGGGGATTACCAATAGACTCCTGGCTGTCTTCAAGCAGGAGCTGGACAGGCACCTAAAGTCAGTACCTGACCAGCCGGGCTGTGGTTCGTACGTCGGTTTACGTGCTGCCAGCAGTAACAGCCTGGTTGATCAGATCCTGATCCACGGCGAGGCCTGGTTTCAGACCGGGCCGCGGGGGCGTTGACCCCTCCAAACTCCTCTCTAGGTAAACTCCAAACTCTGCTCTATTATTTTTAGAAATTAATTACACGCTTGACATCTTTCTGAGTCATTGCTCCTTCACAACACTTCTCAGCCTAAGATTTATAGAACACTTAGCATTTCATACATGCGTCTTATATGATCGATGGTTCGATCCCAGGTACGGGTGAAGACATTAGGACACGTGTTTCCTTAAGACCATCTTCACCTAGCAGTAAAATAGGTACCTGGGTGTTAGTCGACTGATGTGCATCGCATCCTGGGTCAAAATTATCCTAATTTGCCCGATATACTCTACATAACCAGCGGCTTTCTATATAGTAGTATACGTCATTGATGTTAATTATGGTATGTATATGTTATATCATGTGCTTGTAGAAATAAAGACTATTATTATTATTATGATTATGATACGTTAACTTATAATACTGTGACTGGAACAATTCAAAACTAAACCATAATCAAATAACCAAATTTCTGTAAACTCAGCATTGTAATCCTTAGAGAGAATAAACTTTGAATTTGAATTTGAAGCAAAACTGGATACTGTTTTAATCCGCCCAGGAATGTTCACTCTCCTGGGGTAAAATAATACCCAGGACAGACATAAACAACGTCTAATATTTCATGGCCTATTTGTGGGTTGTAAATACAAATAAATTCACATCAACTGAAACCCCATCAGAAATGAAATGAGAGTTGTGTTATTACTGACGTGTTGAGCTCCTGGTAGCCAGGGTTGCTGGGGTTGCTGGAGGTCCACACTAGAGGTGTTCCTGAAGCTTCCTCCCCACCGTAAGTACCTTGCCCAGACTGGGCACCCATCCAGTCGAGGCGAGTGTCACCTTCCCTCCACGAGTTGTACTTATCGTAGTGGCTGCTTGTGCCTAGCGAGTTAGTAGTTATGTCGATGGCACAAGGATCTGTCTCCGCGTCCTGGGTACACCCTGTATGTTATATACAATAAAAACCTTTGTTAAATAGCTTTACATATATATGAGAGAGTTTCCAGGTTAAATCCTTACCAGGAAAAGACAAATGGCAGGTTTCCTAACACCTGCTGTCCCTCCCATCTAGCAGTACGTAGATAACTCAGAGTTAATAGATTGTTATGGCTTGTATCTTCTGAAAAAAATCTTTAATTAAACAACTCCCAGTGGAAATAAGCCATATTGTTTGACTTTCTTGAGTTATCCTGGTTTATTAACTCTCCGGAATTACTAATCAGAATAAAAAAATCACCCCATACCCATACTGTGGGTGGCAGTCACTCCTCGCCCATCATATGGATGGTAGTCACACCATAAGTATCCTGTGGATGGTAGTCACACCATAAGTATCCTGTGGAGGGTAGTCACACCATAACTATCCTGTGGATGGTAGTCACACCATAAGTATCCTGTGGACGGTAGTCACACCATAACTATCCTGTGGACGGTAGTCACACCATAACTATCCTGTGGACGGTAGTCACACCATAACTATCCTGTGGACGGTAGTCACACCAATAACTATCCTGTGGACGGTAGTCACACCATAACTATCCTGTGGACGGTAGTCACACCATAACTATCCTGTGGACGGTAGTCACACCATAACTATCCTGTGGACGGTAGTCACACCATAACTATCCTGTGGACGGTAGTCACACCATAACTATCCTGTGGACGGTAGTCACACCTAAACTATCCTTTGGACGGTAGTCACACCATAACTATCCTGTGGACGGTAGTCACACCATAACTATCCTGTGGACGGTAGTCACACCATAAACTATCCTGTGGACGGTAGTCACACCATAACTATCCTGTGGACGGTAGTCACACCATAACTATCCTGTGGACGGTAGTCACACCATAACTATCCTGTGGACGGTAGTCACACCATAACTATCCTGTAGATAGTAGTCACACCATAACCATCCTGTGCCCGGTAGTCATCCTTTACCTATCCCATGACTGGTCATCACCCCATACCCATCTCGTCTGCAGTAGTCGCTTCTAACCCACTGTGCCACAGGGGCACATATTGGACCCAGGGAAGGGGGGTCTAAGCAATTTTCTTAGTAGTAGATGTAAATATCAACAGAAATACATTATACTCAAACTAAATCTTAAATGAGCTTTATCACATTCTCAGACTAAAACCTAAACAGATACGGAATTACAGATATTCTCACTTTCTAAATTCTAACCATGAAATACTAGCAGAAATAATTATAAGCTAGGTCTGTGAACGAGGACTGACCTGGTCGCTGGCTGCCATCAATGCCTCCCCTGATGAAGAGGTCCTGCCCCTCATTGGTTTGCTTATATATGAAGACCACTGTGCGGTGGACACCTTCCGTGTAACTGGGCTCAGTTGGACCATGTGTCGTGGTGGGGGTCGTCTGGTCTGTTCACACAAGGAAAATATCTTACATACAAGTGCATCAGTGCATAAAAAAATCGACAATACAGTGGTTTTAGATTTTGCCACCGAAGTGGCTAGTTTATTGTGCACCCATATCCATCCTGTGGACGGTAGCGCAAGAGCATATGGATACACAAAAGGCCTAGGAACTAGGCCCCAAAGGGTTAACAGGAATACATATGGATTTATATCTACATATCTATAGTTCACTTATCTGTTACAAGCAAATTTAGGAAATTTGCTTAGTATATCTGGTATCTTATTCTCATTAATAAGATATCTTGACATGTCACATAGGTTATTATACTGTCTGTCTCTGTATTCCTCAATAAGTGGACAATTAAGCACATAGTGTTCAAGAGAGTGACCATATGCCTGATCACATAATTTACATTTAGTTTGATCATCATCTGTGTGTCTCCCAAACTGCCAGAAGTACTTGTAACCAAGCCTAAGCCTGGCCACTACAACATCAGCCAGTACTTGTAACCAAGCCTAAGCCTGGCCACTACAACATCAGTCAGTCTGTTCACATTGCAAGTTGCTCCATAAACATACTTATCTACGTTCATGTTATCATAGTGGGTTATATATCTACTCAGGCTTCTAACTGCATTCCTATAACAATCATTTTCATTATTTACTTCTCTCCTAATATTATTCCTAATGCTAGACACAGTTATACCAAAGTTATATTCTACATTCTCCTTCTGCTGTAATTCATCACTACAGGATTCTGTCATTCATCACTACAGGATGCTGTCAATCATCACTACAAGATGCTGTCAGTCCTCACTACAGCATGCTGTAAATCATCACTACAGGATGCTGTCAGTCATCACTACAGGATGCTTTCAATCATCATTACAGGATGCTGTCATTCTTCACCTACAGGATGCTGTCATTCATCACTACAGGATAATGTTATTCATCACTATAGGATGCTGTCATTCATCACTTCAGGATGCTGTCATTCATCACTACAGGATGCTGTGAGTCATCACTACAGGATGCTGTCAATCATCACTATAGGATGCTGTCAGTCATCACTACAGGATGCTGTCAGTCATCACTACAGGATGCTGTCAATCACTACAGGATGCTGTCAGTCATCACTACAGGATGCTGTCAGTCATCACTACAGGATGCTGTCAATCACTACAGGATGCTGTCAGTCATCACTACAGGGTGCTGTCAGTCATCACTACAGGATGCTGTCAGTCATCACTACAGGTGCTGTCAGTCATCACTACAGGATGCTGTCAGTCATCACTACAGGATGCTGTCAGTCATCACTACAGGATGCTGTCAGTCATCACTACAGGATGCTGTCAGTCATCACTACAGGATGCTGTCAGTCATCACTACAGGATGCTGTCAATCACTACAGGATGCTGTCAGTCATCACTACAGGATGCTGTCAGTCATCACTACAGGATGCTGTCAATCACTACAGGATGCTGTCAGTCATCACTACAGGATGCTGTCAGTCATCACTACAGGATGCTGTCAGTCATCACTACAGGATGCTGTCAGTCATCACTACAGGATGCTGTCAATCACTACAGGATGCTGTCAGTCATCACTACAGGATGCTGTCAGTCATCACTACAGGATGCTGTCAATCACTACAGGATGCTGTCAGTCATCACTACAGGATGCTGTCAGTCATCACTACAGGATGCTGTCAGTCATCACTACAGGATACTGTCAGTCATCACTACAGGATGCTGTCAGTCATCACTACAGGATGCTGTCAGTCATCACTACAGGATGCTGTCAGTCATCACTACAGGATACTGTCAGTCATCACTACAGGATGCTGTCAGTCATCACTACAGGATGCTGTCAGTCATCACTACAGGATGCTGTCAGTCATCACTACAGGATACTGTCAAGTCATCCCTACAGGATGCTGTCAGTCATCACTACAGGATGCTGTCAGTCATCACTACAGGATGCTGTCAGTCATCACTACAGGATGCTGTCAGTCATCACTACAGGATGCTGTCAGTCATCACTACAGGATGCTGTCAGTCATCACTACAGGATGCTGTCAATCACTTTCAGGATGCTGTCATCATCACTACAGGATGCTGTCAGTCATCACTACAGGATGCTGTCAATCACTACAGGATGCTGTCAGTCATCACTACAGGATGCTGTCAGTCATCACTACAGGATGCTGTCAGTCATCACTACAGGATGCTGTCAGTCATCACTACAGGATGCTGTCATATCACTACAGGATGCTGTCAGTCATCACTACAGGATGCTGTCCCGTCATCACTACAGGATGCTGTCAATCACTACAGGATGCTGTCAGTCATCACTACAGGATGCTGTCAGTCATCACTACAGGATGCTGTCAGTCATCACTACAGGATGCTGTCAGTCATCACTACAGGATGCTGTCAGTCATCACTACAGGATGCTGTCAGTCATCACTACAGGATGCTGTCAGTCATCACTACAGGATACTGTCAGTCATCACTACAGGATGCTGTCAGTCATCACTACAGGATGCTGTCAGTTCATCACTACAGGATGCTGTCAGTCATCACTACAGGATCTGTCAGTCATCCTACAGGATGCTGTCAGTTCATCACTACAGGATGCTGTCAGTCATCACTACAGGATGCTGTCAGTCATCACTACAGGATGCTGTCAGTCATCACTACAGGATGCTGTCAGTCATCACTACAGGATGCTGTCAGTCATCACTTGCATCACTGGAGTAACCAAAGCACTTCTAGTTTCCTTCACTATTAGCTTCACAACATTACTATTAAAGAACTTGAAGTAATATACTGTAGTTAAGACCTTGAAGTACTATAATATATTAAAGAACTTGAAGTACTATAATATAGTTAAGACACTGAAGGAGTGAAATCCTTGAGTGTGTCTAACTGTAAGTGTATAGTCTAAACTGAAGTACCTCAGAGACTTATTATATAACAGTACTAAATATCTTCTGCTCTTCAAGGGTAAGAAATACTGAAGGAGTGAACTCCTTCAGTGTGACTATATTATAAGTGTATAGTCTAAACTGAAGTACCTCAGAGACTTACTATAACAGTACTAAATATCTTCTGCTCTTCAAGAGTAAGAAACCGTCCTCCAAAGATATAATCTTTAGTTGAAGACAAAGTGGAAGTCCAGAAGGACATCTTGAAATACAAGAGTCGCCAGCTGGAAGGCCTCAATATGAAGAAATACGAGGAGAACATGCTGGTGGTCCTAGGATGTGAAACAGATTACGTAGGCAGAGAAAGCTTTGAAAGCTTCTTGAAGGAAAATATTCTTATTTCCAAAGATCCTGAAGATTTTGTTTTCCAGATGGAATTAATTCAACTATATGCAAAATACGCAGTCGAGGCAGGACTACGACTTGCTAATTCTATGGACTGTGGAAAACACTTAAGCACTTCTGGCATAGGCATCAAGAGAATGAGTGCCAGGTTTAACTTTGAGTATACCTATCAAGGAATGAGATGGATTGATACTTCTGGTAAAACTGTTTATGAACGTAGTGTTAAGAGAAAAAAGCCTCTATTGGATGAAATTTCCCGAAAAAAACAAAAACTAGAAGACAGCAAAAAGAAGAAGGAACAGGAAAAAACTAAAAGAGAAGAAAAAAGAATGGAGAAGGAAGGTGAGGAAGTTTCAAGCAGTGACAAGGAACTGCCACCTCCCACAACTGATCCAGAAGTACAGACTGATGGGGAATCTAACAAGGTCACAAGTCAGGAAACCACTACTGACAATGATTCTCTTATAAGTAATTACATAAACAACTTTATAGTTTCTACTGGAGCAGCAGCTGAGTCAGAAGAACAGCAAGAACAGGAGACCTTCATTCAGGGGCTTCTCTTCCCTGACAAACCACCAAAAGAACAGCAAGAACTGGAGACCTTCATTGAGGAGCTTCTCTTCCCTGACAAACCACCAAATCCTGTAGAAGAAACAACTCCACCTGTCAACTTTGACACAAAGCCACAATCTGTACAGGAAACCCAAGATTATGATTTCGACCTGGATGCTCTCTTTCATTGAATCTCAATCCTTCTGGGCCGCTATCACTCGTAGTAACCAAGCAAGAACTACATCCACTGAAGAAGACCACAAAAAATATATGAGGATATTTTCACAATTGAAAATTTTATTTTTAAAATTTTTTAAGAAGATATTATTATTTTTTTAAATGAAAGGACTGATTTTAGTTGAGGTGATAGTATAATAATTATATAATGGAGTCTGTCTGTGTGAATAGTCCAGGTTAAATACTTAAAAAATAATAATGACAATATTGGTATGGTGAGGCATAGTGATGAGGATAATGATAGGAGGGTAGTGATGAGGATAGTGATGAGATATGATGAGGGTGATGCCCAGGTAGTGATAGTAGTGATAAGGTAGTGATGATAGTGATGAGGTAGTGATGATATGTGTTGAGGGTAGTGAATGTATGTGATGGGTAGTGATGAATATAGTGATGAGGGTAATGAGGTAGTGTGTATGGTGACATTTTATGGTAGTGATGGGTGACATGTATGGTAGTGATGTATGGGGGCTGTATGGTAGTGATGTTTGGTGACATGTATGGTAGTGATGTATGGTGACATGTATGGTGTGATGTATGGTGACATGTTAGGTAGTGATGTATGGTGACATGTATGGTAGTATGATGGTGACATGTATGGTAGTGATGTATGGTGACATGTATCGGTGTGTATGTATGGTGACATGTATGGTAGTGATGTATGGTGACATGTATGGTAGTTGAAAAAGTATGGTGACATGTACGGTAGTGATGCTATGGTGACATGTATGGTAGTGATGTATGGTGACATGTATGGTAGTGATTGTATGGTGACATGTACTGGTAGTGATGTATGGTGACATGTATGGTAGTGATGTATGGTGACATGTATGGTAGTGATGTATGGTGACATGTATGGTAGTGATGTATGGTGACATGTATGGTAGTGATGTATGGTGACATGTATGGTAGTGATGTATGTGACAGTATGGTAGTGATGTATGGTGACATGTATGGTAGTGATGTATGGTGACATGTATGTAGTGATGTATGGTGAATGTATGGTAGTGATGTATGGTGACATGTATGGTAGTGATGTATGGTGACCATGTATGGTATGTATGGTGACATGTATGGTGACATGTATGGTAGTGATGTATGGTGAATGTATAGTAGTGATGTATGGTGACATGTATGTAGTGTGTATGGTGCATGTATGGTAGTGATGTATGGTGACATGTATGGTAGTGATGTATGGTGACATGTATGGTAGTTGATGTATGGATGACATGTATAGTAGTGATGTATGGTGACCATGTATGATAGTGATGTATGGTGACATGTATGGTAGTGATGTATGGTGACATGTATGTAGTGATGTCTGGTGACATGTATGGTAGTGATGTATGATGACATGTATGGTAGTGATGTATGGTGACATGTATGGTAGTGATGTATGGTGACATGTATGGTAGTGATGTATGGTGCATGTATAGTAGTGATGTATGGTGACAGTATAGTAGTGATGTATGGTGACATGTATGGTAGTGATGTATGGTGACATGTATGGTAGTGATGTATGGTGACATGTATGGTAGTGATGTATGGTGACATGTATGGTAGTGATGTATGGTGACATGTATAGTAGTGATGTATGGTGACTTGTATAGTAGTGATGTATGGTGACATGTATGGTAGTGATGTATGGTGACATGTATGGTAGTGATGTTGGTGACATGTATGTAGTGATGTATGGTGACTGTATAGTAGTGATGTATGGTGACATGTATGGTAGTGATGTATGGTGACATGTATGGTAGTGATGTATGGTGAATGTATGGTAGTGATGTATGGTGACATGTATGGTAGTGATGTATTGGTGAATGGTATAGTAGTGATGTATGGTGACATGTATGGTCGTGATGTATGGTGACCTGTATGGTAGTGATGTATGGTGACATGTATGGTAGTGAGTATGGTGACATGTATGGTAGTGATGTATGGTGACATGTATGTAGTGATGTATGGTGACATGTTGGTAGTGATGTATGGTGACATGTATGGTAGTGTTGTTATGGTGACATGTATGTAGTGATGTAGGTGACATGTATGGTAGTGATGTATGTGACATGTATGGTAGTGATGTATGGTGCATGTTTGGTAGTGATGTATGGTGACATGTATAGTAGTGATTGTATGGTGACATGTATAGTAGTGATGTATGGTGACATGTATGGTAGTGATGTATGGTGACATGTATGGTAGTGATGTATGGTGACATGTTATGGTAGTGAGTATGGTGAATGTATGGTAGTGATGTATGGTGACATGTATAGTAGTGATGTATGGTGACATGTTAGTAGTGTGTATGTGTCAGTTTATGGTAGTGATGTATGGTGACATGTATGGTAGTGATGTATGGTGACATGTATGGTAGTGATGTATGGTGATGTATGGTAGTGATGTATGGTGACATGTATGTAGTGATGTATGGTGACATGTATGGTAGTGATGTATGGTGACATGTATGGTAGTGATGTATGGTGACATGTATGGTAGTGATGTATGGTATGATGTATGATTGACATGTATGGTAGTGATGTATGGTGACATGTATGGTAGTGATGTATGGTGACATGTATGGTAGTGATGTATGGTGACATGTATAGTGTGATGTATGGTGACATGTATAGTAGTGATGTATGGTGACATGTATGGTAGTGATGTAGGTGACATGTATGGTAGTGATGTATGGTGACATGTATGGTAGTGATGTATGGTGACATGTATGGTAGTGATGTATGGTGACATGTATAGTAGTGATGTATGGTGACTGTATAGTAGTGATGTATGGTGAATGTATGGTAGTGATGTATGGTGACTGTTGGTAGTGATGTATGGTGACATGTATTGTAGTGATGTATGGTGACATGTATAGTAGTGATGTATGGTGACATGTATGGTAGTGATGTATGGTGAAATGTATGGTAGTGTATGTATGGTGACATGTATGGTAGTGATGTATGGTGACATGTATAGTAGTGATGTATGGTGACATGTATGGTAGTGATGTATGGTGACATGTATGGTAGTGATGTATGGTGACATGTATGGTAGTGATGTATGGTGACATGTATGGTAGTGATGTATGGTGACATGTTAGTAGTGATGTATGGTGACATGTATGGTAGTGATGTATGGTGACATGTATGGTAGTGATGTATGGTGACATGTATGGTAGTGATGTATGGTGACATGTATGGTAGTGATGTATGGGACATGTATAGTAGTGATGTATGGTGACATGTATAGTAGTGATGTATGGTGACATGTATGGTAGTGATGTATGGTGACATGTATGGTAGTGATGTATGGTGACATGTATGGTAGTGATGTATGGTGACATGTATGGTAGTGATGTATGGTGACATGTATGGTAGTGATGTATGGTGACATGTATAGTAGTGATGTATGGTGACATGTATGGTTAGTGATGTATGGTGACATGTATGGTAGTGATGTATGGTGACATGTATGGTAGTGATGTATGGTGACATGTATGGTAGTGATGTATGGTGACATGTATAGTAGTGATGTGTATGGTGACATGTAGGTAGTGATGTATGGTGACATGTATGGTAGTGATGTATGGTGACTTTGTATGGTAGTGATGTATGGTGACATGTATGGTAGTGATGTATGGTGACATGTATGGTAGTGTGTATGGTGACATGTATGGTAGTGATGTATGGTGACATGTATGGTAGTGATGTTTGGTGACATGTATAGTAGTGATGTATGGTGACATGTATGGTGGGTGATGTATGGTAAACATGTATGGTAGTGATGTAGGGTGACATGTATGGTAGTGATGTATGGTGACATGTATGGTAGTGATGTATGGTGACATGTATAGTAGTGATGTATGGTGACATGTATAGTAGTGATGTATGGTGACATGTATGGTAGTGATGTATGGTGACATGTATGGTAGTGATGTATGGTGACATGTATGGTAGTGATGTATGGTGACATGTATGGTAGTGATGTATGGTGACATGTATGTAGTGATGTATGGTGACATGTTATGGTAGTGATGTATGGTGACATGTATGGTAGTGATGTATGGTGACATGTATGTAGTGATGTATGGTGACATGTATGGTAGTGATGTATGGTGACATGTATGGTAGTGATGTATGGTGACATGTATGGTAGTGATGTATGGTGACATGTATGGTAGTGATGTATGGTGACATGTATAGTAGTGATGTATGGTGACATGTATAGTAGTGATGTATGGTGACATGTATGGTAGTGATGTATGGTGACATGTATGGTAGTGATGTATGGTGACATGTATGGTAGTGATGTATGGTGACATGTATGGTAGTGATGTATGGTGACATGTATAGTAGTGATGTATGGTGACATGTATGGTAGTGATGTATGGTGAAATGTATGGTAGTGATGTATGGTGACATGTATGGTAGTGATGTATGGTGACATGTATGGTAGTGATGTATGGTGACATGTATGGTAGTGATGTATGGTGACATGTATAGTAGTGTTATACAGTGGACTTTGATCTACCGTAGGTTTATATATTAATTTACTGATTATTTGAATGAATGATTTTGGCTTCCTGGGCCAGTGTTACCTTGTGTACATGGGATCTTCATTGCATTGCAGTTTCTCTCAACACCAGTTTGGTTATTTTATATTCAATACTGAAACAGAAACCGCATATTCAATGTTACAGTTGTTTTTACCCATCTCGAATCAGAGGAAAAAAACACTTTGAGAATGGGTCATGCATAGAACAATGACTGACTCCAATATAAATAAATTATGTATGACGTTATTAGACTATGCTAACTGACCAGCTGGGCTGTGGCTCGTACGCCAGCTTACGTGCGGCCAGCAGTAACAGCCTGGTTGATCAGACCCTGATGCACCATGAGGCCTGGTCTCAGACCGGGCCGCGGGGGCGTTGACCCCCGAAACCCTCTCCAGGTATACTCCAGGTAAACATCTAACAACTCTACAGATTTATACTAATGTCTTCAAAATCACTGGTAGATCTCCTAAAAGAAACCAAATCTATTTAAAAAATATATACATAAGCACATTAGTTATTTGGGTTTGAGAAGAAACAGCCTAGTATGCGCAGGAAGGCCCACTGCAGTATTTCTCCATTATGTTCCTCTGTAAAAAGCCCATAGCCTGCTTAACATTTCGAGCATAGTATCCAACCTTATTTACTTACCAGGCTGAGGAGTGGCTGTGACGATGGGTGGTTCAGAACAGTCACAACCTACACAGATAGCAAAGACTGGCTCCTCCTCGTTGGTGATGGTCACCTGCACTGTGCCGTCACTCTGCACCGTCACACTCTGACATGATACAACATCCTCGTATGTCCCCGCTGGCATCCCAGTCTGGAACGTCTACAAAGTCCACGAAAAAATTTGTTACTTTGCCATGTCTGGTCGTATGAAGCGATAATTATGAGGAAAAGAATCTGTCACCTCTCTCTCCACCTCACCTGCGACAGTGTGCCAGACTTGATCATTGCGAAGAATCCCCTGGTGCCCCTGGAGAAGGCGACGACGTTACCATCACAGTAGTAGTTATCCCAGCCGTCTGTCTCCTCCATGGCGTTCCTGAAGCGCACCTGTAGCACACCAACCAAAGGTCAGCCTATGCACACAATGACAATTTACTTTAGTTAGCAGTGTTATATTGATGGAGAAATGGCAAGCGCTTTAAGGATTATTATGCAACTCCTGAGGAATACGGGATAATCAAGGTATCCCTGTATCCCCCTCCCACTTCCAAGAACTTACTGGAAAATTTCGTGACACGTCTTTGTTACCTAACTAATGTACGTACGTCAATATCTGAAGATCTCAATGGAGACAAATAAATATTAGTTATTTAAGGTTAGGCTACTTTAAAGTTAATTCTAAATTTACTCTTAGTTGACAGAAACCACATTACATACACATGGAATTAAGTCTGGAAACCATACGGTTGGGATCCTCTCCAAGATACGATACTACGTGCCGCAAAATGCCCTTCTCACACTGTACCACTCACTTATTTATCCATACCTCACCTATGCTATTTGTGCTTGGGGATCAACTGCAGCAACACACCTAAAGCCAATAATAACCCAACAAAAAGCTGCAGTAAGAATAATCACTAAATCCCATCCCTGGCAACACCCCCCCCCCACTCTTCATAGATCTAAACTTACTCCCTGTTCAGTACATCCTCACTTACTACTGTGCACTCTACATCTACAGGACCTTAAACTCCAATATCAACCTTGACCTAAAACGCTTTCTTGATAGTTGTGACAGAACCACAGGCATAACACCAGACACAAACATCTCTACGACATTCCCCGTGTCCGACTAAACCTTTACAAAAATTCAATGTATGTCAAAAGCCCTAAAATCTGGAACACCCTACCTGAGAACTCTAGAACTGCAGACACATTCATCACCTTCAAAACTACCATTAGAAAACATCTTATCTCCCTGATACACCCCGTCAACTAACTACACGAATACCACCTGGTGGTTCACACTTACACTCACTCACTCATTTGACCATAAACAGAAATATTAATCTCAATCTTAAAATAATGAATCCTGTGATACTCCAATACTGAAACTATGTACTGTGCCAAAACAAAAGCATTCACATTGCTAAACTCACAAACTAGTATTTAGTCACTTAGCCATAATACCAACTTACCTCATAATTTGTAATATTTTAAAATTAAGATTTAAACTAAGTCTGCCCGAAAAGCCTAGCCATGCTAGGTGTTCTAGTGGTACACTCTGTAATCATTATTTTTCTACATGTAAACCACACAATAACCAAATTCTGTAAACTCAGCATTGTGATCCTTATAGAGAATAAACTTTAAACTTTGAATTACCGTGGTACTTGATTTGGTTAGATGATTAGTTACTGGTTAAGTACCCGCTGGCCTGCTGGACCTCCTTCTATAACCAGTAACTGGATAAGCACCCGATGACCTTCTGGACCTACATAACCAGTAGCTGGTTAAGGACCCGATGGCCTACTGGACCTACATAACCAGCAGCTGGTTAAGGACCCGATGGCCTACTGGACCTACATAACCAGTAACTGGTTAAGGACCCGCTGGCCTGCTGGACCTGTATAACCAGTATCTGGTTACGGACCCGATGGCCTACTGGACCTACATAACCAGTAGATGGTTAAGGACCCGATGGCCTACTAGACCTACATAAACAGTAGCTGGTTAAGGACCCGATGGCCTACTGGACCTACATAACCAGTAACTGGTTAAGGACCTGATGGCCTACTGGGCCTACATAACTAGTAGCTGGTTAAGGACCTGATGGCCTACTGGACCTACATAACCAGTAACTGGTTAAGGACCCCTAGCCTAATGAACCTAAGTTTTACACCCTTCATAAAACAAAACAGATTTTTTGTGTGAATACCGATTTAAACGTGGTGACTGACACAAGGTATTATATGTAGCTCAAGAGATGGTCAAGGAGAGAGCAGATTATTATTATTATAATCAAAGGGAAGCACTAAACCCGTACAGCGCCTGGGGGGGAGGATGTGGAATGCATTCAGGCTTAATTCGGGGAACTGGAGCACAGATCCAATTCCCTAAATCAAGAGCCCCTCACCATGGAGAGAGCAGAGCTACAAGGAGACGCGCATTTTCAAGGCTAGAGTTATGTTTTTAATTGATAGGGACCTGAACTGGTGTACAGAAAACAAGAAAAAATCTTTCGAATAAGCACGAAAACAAATGCTACATTTACTTCGTGATATTAATGTAAGTTATACGTCAAAATTTATTCTAAAATACAATTGATATTAAATATTCTTTAGTAATATATGCCGACACACGCTTGAAAAAATATACATAACTGTATCATATTATTAATCATTTACAGTACCGGTAAGTTGATAAGAGACATTTATAAACTATAGGTATCTTCAGGCGAAACGTTGCGGAAATAAGATACCTAAGTGATGTACTTGTGTCTTAAGACATTAGTGTCATCCGGCACTGAAAGTCTGGTATATGAAAGGTGCGGCAGCTTACCATCTTGTATATTGAGGGCCATCGGTGCTCACACACCCAGCCACCCTCACACTGGTTGTCACCGTCGATCACAACACTCGCAGTGCTGAAGTTATAATACAACTCAGTAAGTCCTAACCATAATTCAACACAATACATATCGCTATTTTATTGGTACATTCCGACATCACACACAATTAATTACATCAAATTAATTGGATAGGGTTATAATCATACAAATATCATTACGTCTGGTTATATTAGAAGGATTACTTTCTTGCTTTATACATTGTGTATGTACACTGAAAATTTGTTTTAATCCCTATTTTAAAGTACTTGTTTTCATATATAGCGAATCATCCATTAATTCAAATGTGAATAGAGTGCAAGTAATTAGCGTACTATTGAATATTTGGCTACATATGAGCTGTCTTAATGACCCTTGTGTAGTGGATAGACTTTAAGGGGATGTATAGACCCACTCACGTGTAGTCGCTGAGGTGCGGAGGACCAACATCGTAGTCGTCACCAAACGAGTAAGAGGACATGATGCGGGTGAAGCCGTACGGCTGAGCCAGGGTGAAGGCCACTCCCAGACGGTAATCCTTAGGCCACTTGTATGACAGTGTGTCTCCTGTGGAAACAAGATCGTCGTCACTTGTACCTCTATGGTCACACAACCGAAAGATCCAGGATTCGACTCCTGGTAAATAGTATCAGTTAATTTCCTTAAACCTCAGTTCACTCCTGAGAAATCATAGCTGTGTAAAATGTGTGAGAAAACTAAACTGATGGAGGTATTCAAGTGTTTTATGTAAAAGATACCAGCACAGTGCGATGGGTTTAATAAATGTTTATCAGTTAAACTCACCAGGGCCACCATTGCTTCTCTGGTTGTCGTGGTTATCAACAAAGACGAGAGCTTTATCAGAGTCAGCCATTCCCCAGCCTGGATCGTACACACCAGCCAGCTGCTCAAAGTTCTGCACACCCCAAGCTATCTTCTGGCAGTAGCGGAACTCCGTCACACGACCTATAAACACCCACCATATAAGTTACCCAGAAGAAAAAAAAAACGGCCTACAATGTATCTTTAATTTACTAAGTTATAACTGACAGCTGTGAATTTGTCACATATTTTCCATTAATGAAGAACAAAAAGGCACAATACCGTGACTGGAACAATACACAAATAACTCGCACATAGGAGAGAGGAGCTACCACGACGTTTCAGTCCGACTTGGGCCATTAAAGTCACAGTGTGACTTTGTAAATGGTCCAAGTCGGACCGAAACGTTGTTGTAGGCTCCTCTCTCCCATGTGCGAGTTATTTGTGTCATTAATGATCACAGAAAATGCATTTGATTTAAAATTAACGTGACCTAGTGAAAGGATGTTAAACCATTGAATATTTTGAATTACATAATGGTTAATTACTGAAGATGGGGGACCACAAGCACAGCTCTGCTGTGTTATTCAGGGGTAAAGTGTACCTGGGCAGCACTCACCCATGCCGTAGTACTCTTGCACTGTGACAGCACCGTCGTTCCTGTCAACGACCTCCAGCATAAAGAACGGACGGGTGTTGGAAGGGAAGCCCTGGTCAGTATTAAGGTCGTGAGTCATGTCCATCATCGCCTGCAGGTCCTGTAATACACACCTTTCTTATAATTTCCCTTCTGATTTAAATGCATTCTCTTCCTTCAATAACTTTAAACAACGGCATCAACCCCAAGGGACTCCAAGACAAGAGATGCAACACTAAAGTGAATTAAGATTACTTTTTCTTACAAAGTTATGAAACAGGGGCTAGCTGTGGCTACTTGAGCTTAGAGGATAGTTCACAAACTACCCGGGAGGATCAGTTGACCGAAGACCACTTCGGGTATAGTTATATAGGTAAATGGTTTAAAGAACCGACAAGTTGATAAATTGTGTCTACTTTAGCTGAGTATAGTTGTAGTATTGCTAGAAGATTTAGACTGTAGTTAATCCTTCTCAGCAGATACTCTCAAGATATACTATCTGCCTTCCACATATGATCACTGCCTCTCACACACACTCACTTCAGGCCACATGTGTTTAGCAGCATCAACTCTGAAGCCAGCTACGCCGATATCCACAAGCTTGGAGAAGTAACCAGCCACACTCTGCCTAACATAGTCAGTAGCTCCGTAAAGGTCACACAACGACACCAGGTAGCAGTTCCGCACGTTGTATGGATCACCGTAGTTGTTCACGTTACCTAAGACAAGTAACATAACATCTAAGATATGTTTCTTTCCTAAAACACGTTACAAGATTTATCTTAGCTCTTGTTGATGCTTAAGGAAGATAACACGACTACCTTTGCGTTTTCCATTCAAAAGCAAATAAAATTATTCCTATATAAATGTATAAAGATAATACATGAATAAAAATCCTTCATACCATATTCTCGCACAAAACACATTGATAAACATGATGTATATGTGAGTATAGAAAGTAAGTACAAATATATCCATGATACCTTTCCAGCCTCTCTTGACCCATGGGTGGGGTTAGAACCAGCAATCAGAGAGTTTCAAAACTCCAGACCGACGCGTTAGCCACTCTTAGCAGTCGTGCGATAATTATAATGAAAGGCATGTGTGACATAATGTGCTGTCAAGGACATGAAGTTCTCCTAAGTTGCAGAATAAATTATGACAGGTGAAAAAATTTCATGTTTTACACATACCATCGGTAAAATTGTCTGCTTCCGAGCAGTGAAGAGCAGAGGACTGCGAGGCTAAAGTTGAAATTGAAAGCTGGACGGCATTTCGGTCCCATATAGATAATTATCAAGGTGTGATCTGATAATGGTTCAGGACTGACCGAAATGTTCTCTTATTTTCTATTGTCTTGGCTTATTAATTTTCTACTTACAGTACTATGACCTTTCTTCTTCATACACTATATATGATTTCGGGCATTTGGTATTTACCTCAGGGCAACAAAATACCCATACCCACCGTTACCACATTTGAAGGCAGCAATATATACTGTGGAAAATACTATATATATTTTCCAGAAATACGGTAATTTATAGGTAAATAGATGGCCTATATTGTATTTAATAAATTATGTTACCGAAAATGGGAACCTGTGCCTGCACAGACGACACTCGCCATTGTTGTTTGTTTTGAATTGCGAGTAAAGATATTTGTTAATAATGTGATGAATTTTCGTGCTCTAGAAGTAAAATTGGGTTGACACCTCTCAAATAGGAGGCGAAATTGTTGGATGTGCATTCCTGCATAACTTGAGATATCAGGCGACGGGACAAGACAACTCCAGGAACCTCAGATAAGCTATTTAGATTTATGTTATAATTCTGGCCAGTATTTTCATAAATTTAGTTAGTGAGGTTTTCTGAGTATGATACAACTTGGTCTCAAGTCAAATTGGTGAGTGATATTAAGATATTCTCTTTCTGTTATGTGTATGTGTATATATATAATCCTTTTTTTAATTTTAATATCCAGTCCACAAATTTATATATTTACCAGCATTCCTGGTGATGTATATTTCATTTGTAATTAATAGGTCCAGAGCAACTTGTGGATATGACAGTTGTAGGTATCGAAGGGGGACATTTTTTGCGACCTAGGTGTCCCAAATTCCTACTTGTCTAACTGGCACTGGACAAGCACCTAAAGTCGGTTTCTGACCAGCCGGGCTGTGGCTCGTACGTTGGTTTGCATGCAGCCAGCAGTAACAGCTTAGTTGATCAGGCTCTGATCCACCAGGAGGCCTGGTCACAGACCGGGCCGCGGGGCGTTGACCCCCGGAACTCTCTCCAGGTAAACTCCAGGTAATTCATTTACTGTTATGTACATAATGAGTCACATCCAAGTAAATGCAATTTTCCATATATACCTACCGTCACCAGAGGGGCACAAGTCCCTGGGAGTGAAGTCCTCAGGGCCGTAAGGGACACCAGGAAAGTCAAGAGCATCAGAGTCAAAAGGCGACCCAGCAGAACCGTAACCCTGGCGTCCCAGACCAGCCATGTGATTGACCACAGCGTCCACGAAGATCCTGGAGAAGGAACACTGGTGTTATACAGCTAAGACTATTAAAGCCTAGCGTAAACAACTTTAAAAATAACTGCAATAACAGATAAAGGTAGTAAATGCAAGACGTCACTCACGCACCTGACCCCCACAGCGTTGCACCGATGTACCATATCAATGAATTCTTCCTCTGTGCCAGAACGAGACACCAACTTGTAGGAGATGGGTTGGTATCGCTGCCACCATGGGTATGGGTAGTCTGCCGTGATGACAGCGTGCTCGTTAGGCGGGGACACCTGAAATCAGTCCATAGCTGAAGCAAATCACCAATGGACCTTATGACGACGTTTCGGCACCTCCTGGACCACTGTCAAGTAACAGCTGACTTAACAGTGGTTCAGGATTGATAGAAACCGTCATAAATTTTCTCTCCAAGTGTGCTTTTTTGAAGCAGTCCAGGTTATGGGTCCCATAGCACCAGCGTTGATGAAGAGGGTTTTATCTTAGCGGAGGACCCAGAAATGTCATTAATATTTTATTTACATGGGATTATATTAGTTTACATGAACACATAATTTATCTTCACCCACCTGGACACCGCAGTAGCCAGCCTGAGAGAGGAAGCGCTCACACTCTAGCGCGACATCCGTCCATTTCCACTCGAAAACTTGGATAACGACCGTCTTGCCGTCACAGGCGGGGTTCTCATAGCCCACCGAACCCCCGAGGTTCCGGCCCCAAAGGTCACCATCATGGCCCCACACACTGGCATCCTGGCCCCTGGCCCCGACACCCAGCAACACAAAGCTGGCAACACACGAAGCTCATATATTGAAAAAAGTTAAACACTTACTAGTCTCAGGGTCAGAAATATATTCCCATCTATACGTAGTCTGAACGCTGCCTTCCCGTGTATAATATTCAATGTAACATGCCTAGGAGAGTTAACATGACCATACAATACCTGATAAGTGCAGGAAGCATCATGGTGTCTGCAACGAGATGCTGATGTTGCAGCCTCCATTATATCTCTGCCACTACCGCAGTTATCGTACCGCACAAACACTGCTCATTAGATTTTTTTTTATTTTTGCACAGCTCAAAAAAGGCATATTTTCAATAAAATTGACTATATAATTTAATGAATATCGAAAAATAGAATTTTGGCATCCAATTTACTTCCTGTTTAATGTGTTTGTCTTAAGATGAGGTGTTGGTGGAGGAAGGCATCATATTTCTCATTATTATTATTATTATTTAATCATAACTAAGCGCTAAACCCATCGTTGGTTCTCATGGATGAGTGTCATGAGAATCACACAGCAGTCAGGACTTATGGTGGTAATTTTAGATGTATTTGACATAACTAAAAAACATTTACGTTTTTACGATTGTTAGTGTGTGTGCTCACCTAACTGTGGTTGCAGGGGTCGATTCATAGCTCCTGGCCCCGCCTCTTCACTGGTCGCTACTAGGTCACTCCTTGCTCCATGAACTTTATCGTACCTCTTCTTATAGCTATGTATGGATCCTGCCTCCACCACCTCCCCAGACTATTCATTCCACTTTCAGACAACTCTGTGACTGAAGAAATACTTCCTAACATCCCTTTGACTCATCTGAGTCTTCAACTTCCAGTTGTGTCCCCTTGTTGCTGTGTCCCATCTCTGGAACATCCCGTCTTTGTCCACCTTGTCAATTCCTCGCAATATTTTGTATGTCGTTATCATGTCCCCCTAACCCTCCTGTCCTCCAGTGTCGTCAGGCCGATTTCCCTTAACATTTCTTCGTATGACATTCCCCTTAGCTCTGGCACTAACCTTGTTGCAAACCTTTGCACTTTCAATAGTTTCTTGACATGTTTGACCAGGTGTGGGTTCCAAAGTGGTGCTGCATACTCCAGTATGGGCCTGACGTACACGGTGTACAGAGTCATGAACGATTCCTTACTGAGGTACCGGAACACTATTCGTAGATTCGCCAGGCGCCTGTATGCTGCAGCAGTTATCTGGTTGATGTGCGCCTCAGGAGATGTGCTCGGTATTATACTCACCCCAAGATCCTTTTCCTTGAGTGAGTTTTGCAGTTTTTGGCCACCTAATCTATACTCTGTCCGCGATCTTCTTTGCCCTTCCCCTGTGTACTCACCTAATTATACTCACCTAATTGTGGTTGCAGGGGTCAAGACTCAGCTCCTGGCCCCCTTTTCGCTGGTCGCTACTAAATCTTCTCTCTCCCTGTTCCATGAGCTTTATCATACCTCATCTTAAAGCTATGTATGGTTCCTGCCTCCACTACATCACTCGCCAGATTGTTCCACTTCCTGACCACTCTATGACTGAAGAAATACCTCCTAACATCCTTGTGACTCATCTGAGTCCTCAACTTCCAAGAGTGACCCCTTGTTTCTGTGTCCCATCTCTGGAACATCTTGTCTCTGTCCACCTTGTCTATACCTGGAGTTTACCTGGAGAGAGTTCCGGGGGTCAACGCCCCCGCGGCCCGGTCTGTGACCAGGCCTCCTGGTGGATCAGAGCCTGATCAACCAGGCTGTTGCTGCTGGCTGCACGCAAACCAACGTACGAGCCACAGCCCGGCTGATCAGGAACTGACTTTAGGTGCTTGTCCAGTGCCAGCTTGAAGACTGCCAGGGGTCTGTTGGTAATCCCCCTTATGTGTGCTGGGAGGCAGTTGAATAGTCTCGGGCCCCTGACACTTATTGTATGGTCTCTTAACGTGCTAGTGACACCCCTGCTTTTCATTGGGGGGATGGTGCATCGTCTGCCAAGTCTTTTGCTTTCGTAGTGAGTGATTTTCGTGTGCAAGTTCGGTACTAGTCCCTCTAGGATTTTCCAGGTGTATATAATCATGTATCTCTCCCTCCTGCGTTCCAGGGAATACAGGTTTAGGAACCTCAAGCGCTCCCAATAATTGAGGTGTTTTATCTCCGTTATGCGCGCCGTGAAAGTTCTCTGTACATTTTCTAGGTCGGCAATTTCACCTGCCTTGAAAGGTGCTGTTAGTGTGCAGCAATATTCCAGCCTAGATAGAACAAGTGACCTGAAGAGTGTCATCATGGGCTTGGCCTCCCTAGTTTTGAAGGTTCTCATTATCCATCCTGTCATTTTTCTAGCAGATGCGATTGATACAATGTTATGGTCCTTGAAGGTGAGATCCTCCGACATGATCACTCCCAGGTCTTTGACGTTGGTGTTTTGCTCTATTTTGTGGCCAGAATTTGTTTTGTACTCTGATGAAGATTTAATTTCCTCATGTTTACCATATCTGAGTAATTGAAATTTCTCATCGTTGAACTTCATATTGTTTTCTGCAGCCCACTGAAAGATTTGGTTGATGTCCGCCTGGAGCTTTGCAGTGTCTGCAATGGAAGACACTGTCATGCAGATTCGGGTGTCATCTACAAAGGAAGACACGGTGCTGTGGCTGACATCCTTGTCTATAAACCATACCCCCGGCCGGGATTGAACCCGCGGTCATAGAGTCTCAAAACTCCAGCCCGTCGCGTTAGCCACTAGACCAGCTAGCCACAATAAGATTCATCCAACTAGGTATATTTCTACACCATAGGAAAGTTAGCACAGGCACCCCCGGCCGGAGGTATGGTTTATTTGCAATCGTGTCATTACGATTTCTTGAGTCATGTTGACGGCAGTGAAGGGACTTGAGCTAGAGTTCGTCACGGCCACGCTAGCTGGAGATTCGTCTGTAAAAACTTGCATTTGTGGTCACAGAGGTGCCTGTGCTAACTTTCCTATGGTGTAGAAATATACCTAGTTGGATGAATCTTATTGTGGCTAGCTGGTCTAGTGGCTAACGCGACGGGCTGGAGTTTTGAGACTCTATGACCGCGGGTTCAATCCCGGCCGGGGGTATGGTTTATTTGCAATCGTGTCATTACGATTTCTTGAGTCATCCTTGTCTATGTCGGATATGAGGATGAGGAACAAGATGGGAGCAAGTACTGTGCCTTGTGGAACAGAGCTTTTCACCGTAGCTGCCTCGGACTTTACTCTGTTGACGACTACTCTCTGTGTTCTGTTAGTGAGGAAATTATAGATCCATCAACCGACTTTTCCTGTTATTCCTTTAGCACGCATTTTGGGCGCTATTACGCTATGGTCACACTTGTCGAAGGCTTTTGCAAAGTCTGTATATATTACATCTGCATTCTTTTTGTCTTCTAGTGCATTTAGGACCTTGTCGTAGTGATCCAATAGTTGAGACAGACAGGAGCGACCTGTTCTAAACCCATGTTGCCCTGGGTTGTGTAACTGATGGGTTTCTAGATGGGTGGTGATCTTGCTTCTTAGGACCCTTTCAAAGATTTTTATGATATGGGATGTTAGTGCTATTGGTCTGTAGTTCTTAGCTGTTGCTTTACTGCCCCCTTTGTGGAGTGGGGCTATGTCTGTTGTTTTTAGTAACTGTGGGGCGACCCCCGTGTCCATGCTCCCTCTCCATAGGATGGAAAAGGCTCGTGATAGGGGCTTCTTGCAGTTCTTGATGAACACAGAGTTCCATGAGTCTGGCCCTGGGGCAGAGTGCATGGGCATGTCATTTATCGCCTGTTCGAAGTCATTTGGCGTCAGGATAACATCGGATAGGCTTGTGTTAATCAAATTTTGTGGCTCTCTCATAAAAAATTCATTTTGATCTTCGACTCTCAGTCTGGTTAGCGGCTTGCTAAAAACTGAGTCATATTGGGACTTGAGTAGCTCACTCATTTCCTTGCTGTCATCTGTGTAGGACCCATCTTGTTTAAGTAGGGGCCCAATACTGGACGTTGTTCTCGATTTTGATTTGGCATAGGAGAAGAAATACTTTGGGTTTCTTTCGATTTCATTTATGGCTTTTAGTTCTTCCCGCGATTCCTGACTCCTAAAGGATTCTTTTAGCTTAAGTTCGATGCTTGCTATTTCTCTGACCAGTGTCTCCCTACGCATTTCAGATATATTGACCTCTTTTAGCCGCTCTGTTATTCTTTTCCGTCGCCTGTAAAGGGAGCGCCTGTCTCTTTCTGTTTTACATCTACTCCTCCTTTTTCTTAGAGGAATAAGCCTTGTGCATACATCGAGTGCCACCGAGTTAATCTGTTCTAGGCATAAGTTGGGGTCTGTGTTGCTTAGTATATCTTCCCAGCTTATATCGGTTAGGACTTTGTTTACTTGGTCCCACTTTATGTTTTTGTTATTGAAGTTGAATTTGGTGAATGCTCCCTCGTGACTAATCTCATTATGTCGGTCTGGGGCTCCGCGCATACATGACTGAACCTCAATTATGTTGTGATCTGAGTATATTGTTTTTGATATGGTGACATTTCTTATCAGATCATCATTGTTAGTGAAGATGAGGTCTAGTGTATTCTCCAGTCTAGTAGGCTCTATTATTTGCTGGTTTAAATTGAATTTTGTGCAGAGATTTAAAAGCTCGCGTGAGTGTGAGGTTTCATCGTATTTTGTATGTCGTTATCATGTCTCCCCTGACCCTCTTGTCCTCCAGTGTCGTCAGGCCGATTTCACTTAACCTTTCTTCGTAGGACATTCCCCTGAGCTCTGGAACTAACCTTGTCGCAAACCTTTGTACTTTCTTTAATTTCTTAGTGTGTGTGTGTGTGTACTCGCCTATTTGTGGTTGCAGGGGTCGATTCATAGCTCCTGGCCCCGCCTCTTCGCTGATTGCTACTAGGTCCTCTCTCTCCCTGCCCCATGAGCTTTATCATACCTCGCCTTAAAACTATGTATGGTTCCCGCCTCCACTACGTCACTTTCTAGGCTATTCCACGGCCTGACTACTCTATGACTGAAGAAATACTTCCTAACATCCCTTTGATTCATCTGAGTCTTCAACTTCCAATTGTGACCTCTTGTGTCTGTGTCCCTTCTCTGGAACATCCCGTCTTTGTCCACCTTGTCTATTCCGCGCAGTATTTTATATGTCGTTATCATGTCTCCCCTGACCCTCCTGTCGTTCAGTGTCGTCAGGCCGATTTCCCTCAACCTTTCTTCGTAGGACAATCCCCGTAGCTCTGGGACTAGTCTTGTTGCAAACCTT